GGTTTCATATTCATTCCTGAATTAATAAATAAATATATAAATAAATAAATAAATAAATAAATAAATAAATAAATAAATTTCACCACGGAAAAAAAAAACAAGCAGTCATCAGCACCTCTCCTCACAGAAAATAAGCAGAAACATCACTTCAGGTATGTGATTTCATTAAAATAATCCTCATGCAAAAAATAATTCATCCATCTGAAATCACGCCACGAGCCATACAAAACCCCTGACTAAGCGGTTCAAAAGCCACAGCACATGTACACATACATTTAAACATCATTCAAAGCACGCTGGGCAAATTATAAAAACGAGCCTCTTACCTGCGTGTAATCGAAGTCGGAGAGCGGCGCTATGCTTTTTATATAGTCGATCCTAAACTGGTCCTCCGGATTAGCGAGTGGGATAGGTGGTATTAAAGTGCTCATTGCAGACACTATGGTCTGGAAATAAAAACAACAAGAGTTGACGCTCAGATAAGATCGAGAAAACAACTTCTAAATCAGGAACGAGACTTACCACGATGGCGTCCTTCACATTTTTGCGAATGTCTTGAATTTTCTGTTTCTTTTCCCTGCATGAAAGACAGAGCAAAGAATAATAAATTGCAAGGCTGAACTGCACATTAAACTCCTTATTCAACCAAATATCAAAAATCTATCATCATTTACTCAGTTTCTTTTATATATTAAATACAAAAGAAGATATTTTGAAAAATGTTGTAAAGCAGCCACAGACTTCCAGACTATTTTTGTTTCTACTATTGACGTCAATGGCTGATTTTCTCCAACATTCTTCAAAATATCTCCTTTAGTCTTCAACCGAAGTAAGAATTTTTTTTAAGTTTTGAAAACATTTCAATTTTTGGTGAACGATCCCTTAAAGGTTTAGCACAGTCCACGCAAATTTATGTTGTTGCAAAGTTATTTCTTCAGTGCAACATAAAAAAAAGAAACCTTTACTCAGCTTGTTTCCCAAACAGCGAGCAACCACATCTGTCAGATTTCTAAAATACACATCTAGTAGACTTGAGCACTATATTTGAAGCTTTCTAAAACCATGCAAGAGCTTATAGTGCGAGAATCAGCAAACATCATCGCTTCCGCTGTATTGTGACCAAACATGACAGATCATGAAATAGAGAATGAGACTCGAGAGCTGAATGGAAAGAGTTTCTGTGACTAACAACTTGAATTCCTAATGCAAAGCCATCACGTGACTAGAGATCCCGTGAAATATATAGCACAAGTCATATAGACTGTTGCTTTCTATGTGGCAAGACAAACATTTGCATGGGAACATTCTGCATGAAGAAAATGTAGTGCATATATATAAATGAACATTATTCCAGAGCAGTGATGTAAAGAAACAAATCACAAATACTCAATCCACTGTGAGCAGTTTTTCTCAGAAATTCTAATTTACAAAGCAGTTTTATAAACGTGTACTTTTAGTTTCCCTTGAGAATATTTTTAGCACAGTATCGGTTCTTTTACTCCTTCAACCTGCAGTCACTACTTTATTTTTTCTTGTCTATGGGGATTATAAAAATCAGTCCTGTGATTCCTGTCGCACATATTGAGCATTGAGCTAACGACTCTAAAAGTTAGATGTTACGAAACACAAACATGGTGCAGCTAAATATCAACTTCATATAATATATATTTATATAAATGACCCCGGGAGTGAGTAAGGTATTGTTTTTTGTCTTAAATGTTTTAGTTCAGTTTACTAGACAATTTTAAAGCAATCGGTTTCCTAATATTCCTAACTAATCATTTTGAGTCAACCGTACAGAATTTTACTTTATTAAGAAGTGCTCACTTGCTCGCTTAAAATTAATACACTACTTAGAAATTAAGGCAATCAATTTTTCTAATTAAGGTCAACTTGTTTCATTTTACAGTGTGGAGAGTGTGGTTAAATGTTAAGCAATATTGAATTTGTTTAATGTTATATTTACCCTGCAAAATATTCTACTGATGATAACTGTTTTTCTGTGCGATTATATTTTAAATGCTAATCCATCCCTGTGAGTGAAAGCTGAATTGCTATGGTCATCGATGTCACATGAACCTTTAAAAACTAAAATAAGTAGGGCTGCGCGATATTAGAGAAATCTAGCATTGCGATATTATTTTATTTTGCAACAATGTGAATACAACTTCACAAGATGATCGGCTTAATATCTCTATTTGAAAAGAATTTATAATGTTAGATAGATTAAGACGATTCTGCAGTAGGAGTGCATCTCCATAAAATCTAATAAACAATCTTTAGACATTTAAGCATCCCCTGACACATTTTCAATGTAGTCTGTGCTGTTTGCAGTGCATTTCTATATTTGCATGTGTTGTGAGTGTATTAATGCATGTGTTTAGTCAGAGATTGAGGAGTTAATGTTTACTATTTGCATCTCCATGAAATCTAATAAACATCTATACACTTTTTGGGGTGCTATACAGATTTTCATTGTGGTCTGTGCTATTTGCAGAGCATTTCTGTATCTGCATGTGTTGTGAGTTTTTTTATGCACAAGTTTAGTCAGAGATTAATGAATTAATGTTTACCATTTGCATCTCCTTAAAATCTGATAAACACTCTTTAGATGTTTAGGCGTCCCCTGACCCATTTTTGATGTGGTCTGTGCTATTTGCAGTGCATTTCTATATTTGCATGTGTTGTGAGTGTATTTATGTATGTGTTTAGGCAGAGATTGAGAAGTTAATGTTTACTAATTGCATCTCCAAAAAATCTAATAAACGTATATCAACTTTTTGGGGTCCCTCGACACATTTTAATTGTGGTCTGTGCTATTTGCAGTGCATTTCTCTATTTACACGTGTTGTGTTTTTATACATACGTTTAGTCAGAGATTGACGAGTTAATGTTTACTATTTGGATCTCCAAAACAATCAAATAAACATCTATAAACTTTTTGAGGTCCTATACACATTTTAATTGTGGTCTGTGCTATTTGCGGTGCATTTCTCTATTTACACATGTTGTGTTTTTACGCATGCGTTTATTTAGAGATTGACGAGTTAATGTTTACTATTTGCCTCTCCAAAAAAAATCGAATAAACATCTATAAACTTTTTGAGGTCCTATACACAATTTCATTGTGGTCTGTGCTATTTGCAATGCATTTCTGTATCTGCATGTGTTGTGTTTTTATGCACAAGTTTAGTCAGAGATTGGCGAATTAAAGTTTACTATTTGCATCTCCATACAATCTAATAAACATCTATAAACTTTTTGGTGTCTCCTGACACATTTTCATTGTGGTCTGTGCTATTTGCAGTGCATTTCTGTATCTGCATGTGTTGTGTTTCCATGCACGTGTTTAATCAGAGATTGGTGAATTAAAGTTTACAATTTGCATCTACATATAATCTAATAAACAATCTATAAACTTCCCATGTGTAAGGGTCCCCTGACACATTTTTGATGTTGTTCATGCTATTTCCAGTGCATTTCTGCATTTTCATGTATTGGGAGTATTTTAATGAATGCGTTTAGTCAGAGATTGATGAATTAATGTTTACAGTTTGCATTTCCATATAATCTAATAAACAATCCAGAAACGTTTTGGGGTCCCCTAACACATCTGTGTTGTGGTCTGTGCTATTTGCACAGCACTTCTGTATGTGATATATCGGTGTGTATATTTTAGGCATGGGATAACCGTTTTCAAGGTATACCCCGGTTTGGAAAAGTCAAGATTTTTAAAACCACCAACATTTTCTGTTATACCGTTCCTAAGGTATGTGTAAGATTTATTTACTTTTTTTTTTTTTTTAGGACAACAGCATCTCCAGCAGAAAAGATTTCTAAGCATTGCATTTCAATTTGTAAAGAAAGCTGTGTTTTTGAAACAAATGAAGCCAGCAGAAGTCAATTAATCTTTTGAATTATTTCCCCCGACACGTTTACCGCTGCAAACTAATTTAAATCTTTTTTAAAAATCTAATATATTGTTTTCGAAGGAGGAAAAAGGTTTTGTTTTTTACCCAGGCATTTAAAAAAAGAACAAATTTTAAAGCAATGTGCACAAAACCGTGATCTTTTTATCCTAGATTATCATAAAGTCAGAATCTTATACCGGCACATGCCTTGTATATTTAACATTAGTATATTTATAACCACCTCGGGATAGCGGGGATAGTGAGTCCCTGACATTGTTGCTTTGGGGGTCATTGGCTGAAAAGTTTGGGAACCCGTTTGAGATCGATTTCCGAATGATCACGTGAGACTCAACGCTACAGTAATGATGCTGAAAATCCAGCTTTGCATTATATTTACACCAAACGCAGTTCTTTAAACTGAAAACATGAGGAACGCATTACAACTATCATTAGGACACACAAATTGTTTTACAGGAAAAATGCGTGTAACTTCACACTTATCGCTATCAGAAGGCTTATACACTTCTCTCCTGAGCATTTAGCCCGAGCACACACACACACACAGCAGCGATGTTGCAGGGAGGCACTAGCCGATAGCACGCAATGCTACATCAGTCTCTGCCTCGGCATGTATGAGGGTTTTCCTTCGCCATGCCGAGGCTCAGCGCGGGGCCCAGTCTTCATAAATTACATATATGTGTTGTTAATACAGTAAACATGTACTCACTCCGCATTAAAGCCGTTCACGTGAAGGATTTTCATCTGCTTCACGATAGTGCTCTTCCCCGACTCGCCAGCCCCTAGAAGAAGAAGGCAAACACAGGCGATTTAATGCATGCAAAGTCTGGCGGACACTTTACATTACATTTCGCGGTGAGTGTGTGTGTGTTAGGGAAATCCGACATGCCAGATTGAGCTGTCAAACACGGTGCGTTTTAAAAACACAGCCTGTCGGATGTCGGATATAACGCCTGAAGTCTCCTCTTACCCAACAACAACAGCCGATGTGTGGCTCTATAAGCCTGTCTCTCTTTTTGCAACTGTTTCTCTATCTTCTTGTTGGCCTCTCGCTGTGCCTTCTCGTCGATGCGCTGGTCTTCGGTTTTACTGCTCCCCAAACACCCCATCATGGTCCCGCTGTCCTTTCGGACGATCAATCCGATCACAAACACAAGAAAACCATCCAAGATAGAGCAAAAATAAAAAAAGGTCGCCGGGAAGGGATTGTTTCTCCTCCCTGTTACACCGTCTCAAGCAGCCCGGGCGTCATTCAGGCGACAGGATTGAAGGGATTGATCACATATCGATGGGTAGGGTGGGATATGAACTCGCATCTGGATCCGGGGGTCTCTGTGAGCCCCTGGCAGGAGCTCTTCCCTTCTCTTCTGGTCTCTCGCCCTCTCTGTATTTTTCTGTGTGATATTCTGTGCCTTTATCTCGGCTGCGGTCCGCGGCTCAGCACTGCCTCTGTCTGTCACACTTGGTAATGGCAGGCGGCTTAGAACCAGGAAAAAACCTTACAGTGTATCGTTCTAGTGGCGGTTCAAACTATGGAGCCAGAGCAGTCTCAAAAATAAAACAAAATATACAAAATAAAGCGTATGCATGCACAGCACAATTCACATTTACAAAATATAACTTGTACATTCAGAAGACAATTCATAAACACAACAAATATTTGAAAACAAATTCACAAGTGAATATTTTCCCCAAATTAATTGGATTTGTGTCTAATATGAATTTTCTTTATTATTTATGAACTGAATTTGCGTGTTTTTGAGTCGTGTTTTGATTTTATAAATTGTGTTTGTGTATTTATGAATCGTGTTTTGAATGTATGGACTGGATTTGTGTATTTTTTAATCGCATTTTAAATTTACGAATTGGATTTGTGTATTTTTAAATTGTGATTTAAATTTACAAAATGGATTTGTGTATTTTTGAACTGGTTTTAGATTTGGATTTGTGCATTTTGAATTGTGATTTATATTTACGAACAGGATTTGTGTATTTTTGAATCGTGTTTTGAATTTATCAATTGGATTTGTGTATTTATGAATTGTGTTTTAAAAATTATGAATTGGATTTGTGTAATTTTAAACTGTGATTTTAATTTACGAAATGGATTTGTGTTTTTATGAATTGTGTTTTAAATTTACGAATTGAATTATTTTTAAATCGTGATTTTAAATTTTTTAAATAAATCTGTGTTTTAATGAATCGTGTTTTAAATTTACGAACTGGATTTGTGTATTTATGAATCAAGTTTGGATTTATGAGCTGGATTTGTTTATTTTTGCGTCTTGAATTGGATTTTGTCTTTTGAATTGTGTTTTGAGTTTACAAACTAGATTTGTGTGCGTTTTAATCGTGTTTTAAATTTATGAATTGGATTTGATTATTTATGAATCGCGTTTTTTATAATTATTTTTTAGGGGTTTTCACCTTTATTGATAGGACAGTGGAGATGTACAGACAGGGAATGTGGGTAGCAGCGATAGGGGAAGAATCGCAAAGGACCTTGAGCCGGGAATCGAACTCAGGTTACCGCGAGCACCTTGGTGTTATGTGTCGACGCACTAACCACTCTAGGCTATTAGCGCCAACATGAATCATCTTTTGAATTTAAGAATTGGATTTGTGCATTTTGAATCGTGTTTTGAATTTAACAATTGGATTTTTGTATTTATAAATCATGTTTTTAAGTCACAAACTGGATTTGTGTATTTATGAATCGTATTTTTAATTTATGAACTGGATTTGTGTATTTATGAATCGTATTTTTAATTTATGAACTGGATTTGTGTGTTTTTGAATGCTGTTTTAAATTTACGAGTTAGATTTGTGTATTTTTTAATCCTGTTCAGAATTTACGAATTGGATTTGTGTGTTTTTGAATCGTGTTTTGAATTTAACAATTGGATTTGTGTATTTATAAATCATGTTTTTAAGTCACAAACTGGATTTGTGTATTTATGAATCGTATTTTTAATTTATGAACTGGATTTGTGTGTTTTTGAATGCTGTTTTAAATTTACGAGTTAGATTTGTGTATTTTTTAATCCTGTTCAGAATTTACGAATTGGATTTGTGTGTTTTTGAATCGTGTTTTTGTTATAAGATTATTAAGGAAAAACCATATACCATGTGTGATTTTGAACACAAAAAAAGTCCAACAAATAATCAATATTCCTTATTCTGAACTTTTACAAATAATATTTTCCAAATGATAGCCTGGCTTCAGGCTTCAAACTAGGCATGGGACAATACCATGTTTCAAGGTTTACCATGTATATGTTAGTTTATTTATTTATTTATTTATTTATTTATTTATTTTTTTTTTTGTCATTTTTTTTTTTGTCATTTTTTTTTAACATATTTTTCGCAACTATTTTATTTACGGCAACAGTTTCTCTAGCAGAAAAAAAAACTCTACATTATAATTTACTGGTCCAAAATATTTTAAATGTATCATAAAATAAAATATATTTTGTTCAATGGGAAAAAAGTTGTTTATTTTTTACCCAGACGTTTAAAAAGAGCATATTTTGGAGCAGTAATCACAATACTGTGAAACTGTGCTATATTTTATCCAGGATTATCATACCGTCAAAATCTTATACAGGCCCATGTCTACTTCAAACTGAAATAAATTATTAAATTATCATCCAATAACATATAAGTGGCCAAGTGACTTTTTTAATACTGCGGTTCTGCTATTTTATACTAAAGAACACACTTTCACTTCTCAATAAACGTCTATGCTTTTAAACTTCATGTGAACCGACAAATGCTGTGTTCAACTATTAAGCAACCATGGAAAACCGTGAAATATGAAAAGAAAGACAAAATATATATAAAAAAACGTCTCTTAGTGGACCACGAGATAACAGAAGCTAACAAGGTTCATATAATTTAGGGATTTTAAATGACATTATGATTAAACATCTATACAGATTCTCAATAATTCAATGTATTCTGATAATAAGTATGCACGATAGACATTTTAGGCCTTTACTCAATACAGTAAGAACACATTCAGCTTAACATCAGCTAATTTAACTTAATTTAGTCAATATAATGAAAATTACTATAAGTATTTGTTAATTTTAGGTTATGCTAATTTCTTTGATGATGCTTAGATAATAAAAGTCACAAGTTAATTCTAGTTAATAACTAAATTCAACTATAATAATTTGTTTTATTATTTTTATTTTTTTTACTTAAATATAACGATCTGGATATTTCCGACTGTTAATTTTAATTAATTTACTAACATTTACTAATGAGCCTTTTGCTTTATAATGCTTTTGCTATTTAATTTATTTAAAACTTTCATTTTCTCTGAACATGTATATAAAATAAAGCAATACACCACATATTTCTAACTGTTATACCTGTTAAAGTAACCTTTTATGCAGCTTAGGTCAACACCTCTATAAAATATAATGTTTATATAAGCTTCAGCAATTAATTACAAGGAAATTTGATACCATCATAAGCCTATAATTATTATTTAGACATGATTTAGTCATTATATCTAGCATTAGATGTAAAATATAACAATAAATAAATAAATAAAAAAATGACAGAACCTATGATGAAATGCCACTGTTACAGTAACATCATGCTAAATATATATTTACATAATGTTATTCAGTACTATTTTTAATATTTAACAATTTAGGCATGACATCTGTTTTTAGTTTTGAATTTTGAAAATCATTTTGCACAGCCAAGAAATATTTAAAGATAATAAATGCAGCATATCAGTGTCACTACACCCAAAAAAAACCTTAACCCTTCAAAACAACAGGCAGTATTGCATAATGCTTTCATTACAATTAGCAAGCCATATGCAGTAAAGGTCACACTAGAGCCAAAGTACACGTTCAGTAAATGATAAAACCTATTTACAGGGTGACAAAGTTCAGTTTACAGACCACATTCGCATTGCAATGCTACGCAAAAGAACAATAGCAACTTGTGTGCAAGCATGGCAACTGATTGTTTTTTGAGCCTTATGGGATTCACCACATAACCAAACCATTCAGCACTTAAAGATGAAGCCCTTGTGGCTATTTATAGGTCAGGCATCATTTACAACAGACAAAACATGTGCTATATTTTTATGTAGGTCACTTCAAATGGGCTATTTCATGCATTTGTTGAAGGTATAAGATACTAGCTCTTTAATAAAAGCCGAAATACATGTTATAAGGTTCCATTGGTTAATGTTTTTATTATGAACAAACAATGAATAATAGATTTATTACTGCATTAATGCATCTTAGTTAGTGTGAGTTAATGATAATGAAATAATGAAGTCTTTTTAGTTCATGCTAACTCACAGCGCATTAACTATAACGTTAACAAGCACAACTTTAGAATTTAATATTGCATTAGTAAAAAAATGTATGGTTCATTCTTGGTTCATGTTATTAAATACATTACTGAACATGAAGTAATTGAACCTTATTGGAAAGCATGACCAAAATGCTATATGCACATACCGTTAGAAGTCAGAATTGCTAGCCTCCCTGTTTATTCCCCCCCCAATTTCTGTTTAATGGAGAGAAGATTTTTTTAAACACATTTCTAAACAATAGTTTTAATAAATCATTATTAATACTGATTTATTTTATCTTTGCCATGACGACAGTAAATAATATTTGAGTAGATATTTTTCTTCTATACAGCTTAAAGTGACATTTAAAGGCTTAACTAGGTTAATTAAGTTAACTAGGCAGGTTAGGGTAATTAGGCAAGTTATTGTATGACGATGGTTTGTTCTGTGGAC